AAGAAAACACAAAATAGATAAACTCACAAGAAGAACACGTACAAATTTACATGGTTTGGCTTATAGCCTATGTCCATGGACGAAGGACAAAGACGAAATGCACCAAGAAAATGACAATAGAGATAGAAGGCTATGCAGAAAACACTCTCCTTTAGAAATCCTAAATCCCAATACAACCAAACTCTTACAATACATGCTCACTTTCTTCTTATGCAAACTTAATATTACATAAAAGAGAAAACCCTAAACAACATAACATAATGAATTCTAGTCATAAGCATAAGTCGAAAATGGATCAATCCAACGGCCAAAATCTTGTGCTTCCATCACAAATCACTATGAAAATTTGTCTTTGAATTTTCGGAACATGGAGTGGGAACACAACACTTACTATCAAGGTTCTCCTAATGCTAAGTTCACTTTGTTCTATATTTAGACAACATGGCTGTTCATATATTTATTAGTGCTTAATTTCCTCGAATCCACTATTACCAAGGAAAATGCACAGTGAGCAAATTTAGTGAATGAACTCAGCCAGAGGGCTTTCAAAAATAAAAAATCTCACATAATTTATAGGACCTTAATTTAGAACATTACTTTTGGTAAGAAATCCATCAATTTGGTCAAGTTTCATTCGAAAAATCCAGTTCAACCCTGAGAATCAGATTTAATGATCTCACTTTTCATTTAAGTAAATTAGTTGAAAATTATTCAAGAAAAATTGTAGGATATTTTTGGTTTTAATGCATGTTTTTCTCCTCCCATATTTTTCATATTTCTACTACTTTACATATAATTAGGGGTGCAATTTGGGCAGGTTTTAAATTATTTGAACCAAGTCACTGAATTACTTAATCGTGAACCACCGGTTCATATTTCATAACATTGATTATGGGCCGTTTAATAACAACTGAAGTGGCTGAATTGAATAGCTTATTGATTTTTCTTTTTGTGAATAATTTATTAAGAAGAGATCAAATCAGCCCCCCACAATGTCCCATAGCACATCTTCGTCGTGTATTAGAATGATAATACCTGAAATGATGATATCATCATCGGGAGATATTCCCAATATACAGCGGAATATGCTGTGGAACACCGGGGGAATCTTGTGGGGGGCTGATTTGAACTAATGTTGTAAGCTCCTCAATGACTGAAATTGAAAATGGGTTGATTACTTTATATTGGAATATTTTATTATTGAGTTTGTTTTATCTAATAAAATAAAAAACAATAAGTCCTTCACTTCAACCACTTCACAGCCCTTTGTTGGTGATGATTTTCTTTTTTTTGACGATGAATTAATATAATTGCTTTGCCCAAATTGCACTAAGCAAATGGAGAAATATTGAAGATATAGTTGAGTTCTTTGAGATGAACAACCAAAGCAAATTATATTTATTATTTAATCTACCATTTGTGATGTATTATTAAATGCTGTTAAATATTTTATCATAAATTGTGAAGGCCTGTCATGTATTTGGAGTTCAAAACTATTAACATATTATGTGTATTTGCATACTTAAATGTTGACTAGTTCCAACCATCGAGTCAATCAATTCACACCCATTTTTTTTTTATTAAACAATAATTGAAATATAAGAAGTAGCCCATCAACCTCATTTTATTAATATTTATTATTTTTTAAAACAAGATTTTAATAAAATTAAGAAAATTATGGCCTGTTTAACTGTAAATTATATATATGTAAACGTTTAAACAGTGTATATAATTATGAAGATCAGCCGTTGAGATTTTTATTTGCTTTTACAATGTAAAGATTTTAAGGCAGTTATAAAATGATTTATTTAATTTTGAAGGGGTTTTACTACAAACCTCGCTTAATTGAAAAGAAAAGAAAACTAGTTTTTATGGATGGTCAAGGCATTGCCATTTATCAAAAAGGAAAACTGTCCAATTAATCAACTTCAGAGAACAGCAAATTAATGAACAATTAATTAATGTTCCAAAAACCAGACCCGCTAGCTTGGTTCAATCCGGTTTAAAATATTCCTGTGGTCCAAAAAGTAAACTAAGGATAAAGAAACACTATGTTTTAAAAACTAAATTGGAACTGAAATTGCTTTGGCCACTGATTTTTGGGTCAGCAGTTTGACTATACGGTTTAAATAATTAAAATAAAATACGGCCAAAAACCATTGTTTGGATTAAATAGATCAACGATTTGACTGCCTGAATCAATAATTTGCTGATCACGTCAACAGTTTTTTGCCAAATGGTGAAACAGAAACCAGTTGCTTAAACGATTTCCAGGCCAAATGGCCCGACTGTCTGAATCAATGACAATTTAAAAACACTGAAGAAACCTATTTTTTCCAAAGCTGAACCGTCAATAGACTGGTTGGGGTGTGATTTTCATGAATGGGCAGTCTGATTTTGTACTTTTTATCTAGCTCCAACAGTAGGAGAAAAATGCTAGAATTTTGTTCAGGCACGACTAAACCTGTTCACGGGCCAGGTTTCGGGCTCAATTTTACACTGTCTGGGGCTCGGGCTTCGGGCCGAGCCTATTAGAATTTTGACAAAAGTCAAGCCCGAGCCCAGCCCATGAATAGGTTTAGGCACAACCCATGATCCATTCCGGTCACCTCTTAATCACATGGTTTTTAAAATCAGATTGGATCGGATGGTCGGATTAGAAAAATCGGGAACGGTCAGGTGATCAGTTCCGTTTTACCCCAGAATTGTTATTTCACCAAAAACCATTAATTTAATCAGAAAACCACTGACTCAGGTGGTCGAATCGTTCAAACCATTTGGACCATTTAACGGTTTTGGCCGTTTTTTATTTTTTTAATTTTTTGTTAAAATGAACCATCCGTTCAATTCAAATAGTCAGACCGTTTGACCCAAGAACCAGAACTCTGACCGATTCATTGTCCGGTTCAAATTTAAAAACCTTGCTCAATCATGTATTGATTGTTTATTCTACCAGGACCACCACTCTGCATCAATGTTTTAAAACCCTAATTAGAGGACCATAGAATTCTTTTTGGTCGGGTTAGGTCAGGTTGATCGTCTTCTACTTCGGTCATCAGATAGGGTGTCCTAACCCACTTTTTTGGGTCGGGTTTGGATCAACTTTTTAGGTCTAATTAGGACCAATGGGTCAATAACCTGCAGCGTCATAATAACAATTAAAAAAAAAAAGTAAAAAGCATCGCAAAAATCAGTAACCTACTAAATGGATCGACCACGTCTGGTTCAAGCATTTATGTCGACTGATTGAAAATATGGACCGAATAAGATCAAATATTCGTAAATCCAAATATGCATCTAGGGGTGGATTTGGGCCGAACCAAACCTAATAGTTAGTTATTTGAATTTGGTTCATCAAGAAAGTATGAGGTTCGAGTTAGAGACTTGAGCTCAAATTTGGTTCAAGTTAAAAACTTGAGCTTGACTGTGAGTAAAATGTTTTATAAAAATAAATAAATAAAATATATTTTTTATTTAATTTTTAAAAAATTAAAATTATAATAATTAATTATTATTATATATATAAATAAAAATATTTTATATATATATAACATTTTTATTTTATTTATATTACTTTTTATATGTATAATATTTTTATATTTATTATATATACACATATATGTATGTTAAGCCCAGCTCATTAGGTTCGAACTTGGCACAATTAACAAATAAACCTATAAATTGGGTTCAAGCTCAACTCGAATCTCAATTTAAACCAAATCGATTTGTGAAAAGCTAACTTGTGACCACTCCTATATGTATCCATCAGTATTGATTCATTTGTTCAATCAAATGGATCGGATTCCAATATTGCATAGAATTGATGAATAAATGTATGCAGATTGTAATCTTAGGTGGGCACTTCAGATATGCTACTAACCTGATGCTTCTAACATAGTAACATGTTCCAACTGGTCACTGCAGCTGTATATTGGAAATATCTGTGATAAAGGGGATACTTCCAATGTAGGACTTCAATGATTTGTTGGGATAATATTGGAAGCATTTTATTGGTAGCAGATAGGGGTGGATTTGAGCTGAGCCGAATAGTATGAGACTCAAGTTCGGCTCGAGACTGTTCTAAAAGGCTCGATCTCGAGTTCAAGCCAGAACCTTGAGATCAAACTCGACTCGAGTAAAAAATTCATAAGTTTGAGCTCGGCTCGACTCGAGCTTGATTTTGAGAAAAATGTTTTATAAAAATAAAAAATTCTATATAAAAATATTTTTTATTTGATATTTAAAAATTAAGAATTATAAAAACTAAGAATTATAATATTTGTATTATACATATATTATTTTCTATTAGGCTCGAGCTCAGCTCATTTTTTAATCGAGCCTATGAACTGGGCTCGAAATCGGCTCGAAGCCCGGTTGAAACCGAGCTGAGCTAAGCTTAGCTTTTCACGAGCCGAGCTCGAGCAACTCGTGAAAAGCTCGGCTTGTTGCCACCCCTAGTAGTGGATCCCTAAAGGGTTGTTCCAAATTGAAACAATTTAGGCAAGGGATCCCGATGAACAAGAAAATTGAAAATCGGAGGTATGAGTCATTTTAAAAAAGGAAAGGTGTTTTCTACAAATACATTCAAATAAAGGACTAAAATAAAATCCAATAAAAAACTACCTCCATTCCATCTCGTTTAACACGAGGACAACAAAACTACTTTTTAAATCAAACCTTACATCAACTTTTAAATACATCGAATTATTTGTGGGGGCCCATAAGTCATTATGGACTTTATGTACTGGGCCAATTTACTAATATATGCCCAACCCGCTTGCAAATTTAAACGCTTATCCATAAAAATTAATTATTCGCAATTATGGAGAAAGAAAAAATATGTTCAAGTTTCCTTTTTGTTTTTTGTTTTTTTTTTATATTTAAGTTGATAAACATAATGACCATAACGCCCTATGACTCGTTAAATGACAAAAATACCCCTAAAATTTTCATATATAACAGCCTGAAGAGAAAAAAGAGCGCCATCCTTTCTCATCCTGAAGAAAGAAAACAGAGAATGGCTCTTCCTGGAGATCTCGACGCTCTCACAAAGGCTTTCTCAGGTTCTGGCTTTTTCCATCATTCCTATAATCCTATCTATTATCTTAAAAGTTTTCTTTTCTTTTAGCTCTCACAAAGGCTTTCTCAGCTTCTCTGCTTTTGAGCTTTGGGCTGTGAGAAACAAAAAGTGAGTCAAAGAGTGTTTGATTAATAACATAAAAGTTCTAAAGCCAAAGCACTTTTAAGCCCCAAAAGCACAAAATATAAAATTGGGGCCCTGTGCTTTTGGACTTCAAAAGCACAAATCCTGCTTTTGCAAACCCAACTTTTGTTCCCATCATCATTTCTTGCTTTTTCTAATTAATTATTTTTACCATTGGTTTCTGTTTTCTGTAGTATTTAAGCAAAATTAAAGAAAGAAAAGAGATGGGTTTCTTGATGTTTATGTCTATTGAATTCATTTGTTTGTTCATAAACGAGAAACTGAATATACAACCAGAGAAAAGAAAATCCCTCAATTCAGGAACTAACTTTGTTCTTTTTAATATTAAAAATATTGCAATTTCTCCAATTTATAGGGTTTGGAGTTGACGAGAATTCAATAATATCGATACTGGGGAAATGGCACCCAGAGCAGAGAAAATCCTTCAGGAAGGGATTCCCTCAGTTCTTCAGGGAAGACAAACGCCTCTTCGAGAGGTGGGACGAACGCCATATCGCCTTCCTTGAGCATGAATTCTTGCGTTTTAAGGTATGTTTATAGCATGGTTTTAAAACATAATCTGGAAAAGAAACCATTCTGGCCACCGGTTTTCGGGTTGATGGTTCGATTGTCCGGTCGAACGGATAGCTCGTTCTGACAACAAAAATTAAAAATAAAAAATGGCCAAAACTGTTGAATGGGTCAATGGATTGACAGTTCGACCACCCAAGTCAATAGATTATTGATCGATTCAATGGTTTTTGACCAGGGACCAGGTTTAAGGTAAAACGAAACTGATTGCTTAGACAGTTTTCAGGCTGAATGGTCCAATCATCTGGATCAACGGCGGTTTAAAAACCATGATTTATAGTTTTCTCTTTTGATTCTTATTTTTTTTTTACATTAATATTGTTTGACGCAGTTGTATTTGGTGTGAAGATTGAAGGAGTGCTCCAGGATTTAAGTGGACCACATTGATTTAGTGGGCCAGATGGACTTGGAGCCCATTCTACTCTGGTGGGCCCAACATACAAAAAACTGAGCTGTCAATAGATCGGATCAATCCGAAAAAACTAAACCGGTTTTATGGTTAATAAATATATAAAGGTCTCATTTTTTTTCTTTTAATTTTTGTTATGTTTTTATGTCTAAAAGTGTAAATTTCATACATATAAATAGTTTACCATTTTATTGTAATTTTTATCGAGGTTAGATAATAAAAAAATGAAGTTCTTAGTTATTATCATATATAATCACTGATGTCAAGTACAATCAGGTCTATTTGGGTCAGACGGGATTATTCCGGTTAATAATTGGTTTGATTCTAGGTCTATCTTATAGAAATGATTAATAATTGGTTCGGGGCTGGTCCACCCTGTCCCAATCAGACCCGGCCCATTGACAGCTATAAACTTGAGGATAAGATTGGGAGGATGACCTTCACTGATTTCATCTATCCATTCCCATGAAATTCTTTATTATGGGCTTGGATTTTGGGCCCCAATGGATCTCTCTTTCGTCTATCTATTGGGAGGATTGGATTGATCTTGAATTTTTCCTTCACAGCTCACTTGCTTCTCTCTTTTAACACACAGAATGCTATGGTGTTATGGACATTGCATCCTTGGGAAAGAGATGCCCGTCTTGCAAAAGAAGCCTTGGCTAAGGGAGATTACGATATTCTCGTCGAAATTGCCTGTACCCGGTCGTCGGAAGAGCTCTTGGGGGCAAGGAGGGCTTACCACTCCCTCTTCGACCACTCGATCGAGGAAGATGTTGCATACAGTGTCAATGACAGCAACCGTAATGTGAGTAGTTAGTACCACAAGCCAATGTTGTAAGACTTGGCCAGGACCGGACAGTCGGACAATGAAAACCGGGATCTGATTGCCTTTCCAGGTCCCAATTAAATGATGGTTTGTTTATTTGGACCAAACAGGACCGAAAAACCGGGACCAATGGAACATTCTGGTTTTTAGTCCGGTTTGAGTCTTACAACATTGCCACAAGCTTTTCTTGCCTCATCTTTAGTTCATTCAATTGATGGGCCTTCATTTTAATGGGCAAGATATCATGCTGAGATTGGTAGACCACAGTGGAGCCCTGGACAACGGGATGGATCTAGCTTATCTCAGCCCATGGATGAGACCCTACAAATTGTTGACAAGACCTGCCAAAGGCAGTTATTAGGCCTTAAAAGCCCATTTACCGCTGAGCCCATCTATGACTATGTGCTTCGAGAAGTTTATCCTTCTCTCATAAATAGAACATTTAAGTGGTCTGCGGGAAGATCAAAAGACCAAAAAATGGTCTTTTTCCATTGAAATGAAGTTTTTGGTCTTTTCGCATTGAAAATAGCCTCTGCAACTGTTTTTAATAGCCCGGTAGACCATGACGTGAACCAAGCAGTCTTGATCTTTAAAGACAAGACCCCAAAAGCTCACTGCATCTTCTTGTCTAACGGGCTGTTGAAAGATCTACCTAGAAAGACTTGCAAACAGCCCATTAATTTGTAACAAACTAATTTGGAATGTCTATGAACTGCAACAGCTCTTGGTAGCACTAGTGAGCTCCTACAGATATGAGGGAGCACGAGTCAATGAAGAGATTGCTGAAACAGAGGCTAAGACCCTCTCTGAAGCCATAAAAAATGCTGAAAAGAGGCCTATAGAGAATGAAGAAGTAGTGAGGATAATAACAACCAGGAGCAAGCTTCATCTCAAAGCAGTGTTCAATTACTACAAGGAGATATCTGGCACCACAACTGAAGAGGTATCCAATTATATCTGCAATACAATTGAAGAACTATTGCATGGTTTTCTTGGTTATGTACCCTGAGATAGTTGCTTCTGGTGAAAACTAATGTCTCATTGAACAAAGCCATTTCTAATTGTAAGTCAATATAAATTGATGCTTTTATCAGGATCTGGAAGAAGGCTCAAGCTTGAGCTATACAATTCAGTGCATTTCCTCTCCTAAAACATACTTCAGCAAGGTAAAGAAGAACCTACCAACCAAGGTCATGGTTTTCAAAACCGGACTGGACCGGAAAAACTGGGAATTTCCCCAAAAACTGGATTTTCCCCAGAACCGTTGATTTTTGGTCAGCGAACCGCTGAACCGGGTGGTTAACCGTTTGAATGGTTTTGACAGTTTTTTTATTTTTTTAATTTTTTTGTCAGAACAGGCCGAGCATTCTGTTCGAACGGTTGGACTTCGACCTGGTAACCGGACCCCTGACCGGTTCGGTCTCCGGGTCGGTTTTAAAACCATGACCAAGATGTCCAATTTCAACATTTTTACTTTCGTTGTTCTAATAGTCATTCTGGTTCCCAGATACTGGCTTCAGCACTGAAAGGAAGTGCAGATGAGAAAAATAAGCAAGCTCTGACTCGAGTAATTGTAACCCAAGCTGATTCTTACATGAAGGAGATATCAGAGGAGTACCATAAGCAACATGGAGTTTCCCTCTCACAGAAGATTGAAGAGACAACCAATGGGAACTACAAAGACTTCTTGCTTACCTTGGTTGCTAGGGGAGACTAAGAAATACAGAACTGTCACCTTTCCATAAGAAGCAGCTGAACATGCATTGTTTGATTTTCCTATTTCATATCTCAAGTCTAATCAGGTTAAGCTGGTTGGTCATATGCAATTCTGTGTGGTCTGTTGTGTTTCATGCATCATCTGGTCAGCCAAGGATGACCTCTTTTTTAATAAAAGAGCTTTTTTACTGTGCATGTTTATCTGTATGGATATCAAATTCCCTGCAAAGTGAAACCATAATAAGTTAAACATCTGTTATCAGTTTAAGTGCTTTTGTTTCTTTCTTAAAGAGGATAGGACGAGTAGAATGGAATTTGATTTTCCTAGATGAGCTAAAGTTAAAGCCATAATTAAAAATTTAAGCAGTGTGTGAAAGAACATATTAGAATATAACAAAAGAGCTATATTTGGGTACAGAAATTTGAAATAACTTGCCACCTTCTCTCCAAGTGTGAGCCATTTCCCATTCCTAGAAACCATTAAAATTAAGGTCTGGTATAGACCCCACATTTGAGGAACCAGCATAGATAGAGAAGCTCTTAAAGCAGTCACAGACTTGAGTAAATATTTCATATATATGGATCCATGAGAATGCATAGGATTGAATACCTTTCTGCAAGCACTTGTTATGAGCCTATAACCACAATCAGTTCCCTTTGGTATAGCACCATAAAAATTCAAGGCTAAACGCCTAAACCTGGATAAACAAGGCCATAGTCATACTAATATCTGCCATTGGAAGGAATGGAACAAAGAGAAAGACCACTACTCTCATGGATCAGAATGAGATAAGGAGTGACAAAGCAATGAGTGGAAACATCCAACGCAGTCTTGCGAGTAAAAAAAAACCTAAAGCACACCAACTTAAATCAGGGAGGACAAGATAAACCAAGAAAAAGATGACAGAAACAAGAGGATTCTGAAAACGAAAATCCTCCTTGATAAATGGACATGCCTTGTGCTTACCAAAAAAATCTTTAGCTGGCTCAAGGATTCCATGTAATGGTGTCCATATAACCATTTCTAATTGCAAAATGGTTTATATGTGATTGCAAAATGGTTTGTGCAAAAACACCATTTCTAATTGGTGTCCATATAAACTGGTTTTCATGGTCAAAATAATAGGATCTAATTTAGTTGTAAAGAAAATCAATTCCAGAAAGTTTCAATGAGGCTGTTTATGTAGGTTCAACTGTTCGACTTAACTCAGAGAATTCCATGGATCCCTCCAAGCTAATTTTTCTATCACCATTTCTATTTTTACGCTTAAATACTTCCTGGACAATCTTCTCAGCTTGATCAACTTTTGAATGATGATCATGACTGCCCAGACTCCAATTTGGTAGAGGTAACTGAAACCAAGAGATTCATGCCTTCATGGAGCAGATTGACTTGTGGAAATGGACAATACCTGCATACTCCAATCATCCATAATCATAGGCAAAGGATGGCAATTTGACCCATTCCTGTCGGGGCTCCAACCTGTCCTGACCCGGTCATGGCGGGTTTTTTTACCACTGATTGGGTTTGGGATGAATTTTTGGGAAACCTGAAAATCTGGGACAGGGATGGGGTTGGGATTTCTAGCCCCATTGGGGTACGGGTGGGGTATTTGAGCTCGGGGTCAGGGACTGGGCATGCAAAACCCAGCCCTGCCTCTCCCCATTGCCATTCCTAGTTCTGAGTCAAAACCACCTTTAGAGAGGAAGGCATAGATATTTTGAAACTGATTATTTGAATTTCTCTTGTAAGATCTGTGCCACCCTACTAGAGGATTGCATTACTTTTGTGACAAGGGAAAAGCCAATTCCAGTACACCCAATAGCCGATACCATCAATCGAAATAATTAGAGATACAGAACAAATTAGAGAGATTCTTCCGATTTTGAAGTTTCACCTTTGATATTCTCCATGCTTTTGTAATCATCATTCAGAAATCTCATACAAAACAAAAGTGAGGTCAATGAACTTGACAAGAAATAAGTTCTAGTCAATGTCAATAATGCTGCAAATATTAGCACCAGAGCTGAGTTTATTGACAATTAGGCTTAGTTTGAAAGGAGTACAAATGCAAATATGTAGAGTTCAAAACCTTGAATTTTGTATTATTTCTTATGTATTTGTACTTTTCTTCAATAATTGGACATCAAGAGTTCATTACAGAGAAAACCACTTAAGCAAAGAAAACAAAAGAGTTGAAATGCCTCTGCAACCTACCATAATTTCTGGAATAGAATCGATAAATTGTGAAAACCATTTCTTAGAACCAAGATTGGAGTGAAAATGCATGATTTCACCCCCACAAACCCCTTCCTTCTTTATTGCTTTCTGATGTATGGAATGGCCTTACATGGTCACCCAATCTCAGAACCACATTGCTTTCTGATGTGGGAACAAACCCACATATCCACAGGCTCTCCATGGTAAGGACAGTGAACCTAATGTTCACCCTCTTTCGTCCCCACCCCATGAACCCCCCTATAATGTGTCTAATGTAATACCAAAGAAGAGGACCTCTCATAGATTTTACAAACTTACAAGATCACATCTTTCACCTTTTTGTAAATTAACTTTAGGCTAAATTATAAAGACCCCCTGTACTATGGGGTCTGTGACAAAGACCCCTGTACTTTGTTTTGCGATAAAAACCCCTTGTAATATGACTGTGAGACAAAGACCCCCTTGTATTATAGGGTCTATGACAAAAACTCACTGTACTTTGTTTTGCGACAAAGACACCCTTCTATTACCCTTCCTCCAAAAGACCGTTACAATATTTTTTAATCCCCATACTACCCTTATAATAATTATTCAGATGAAAAAAATACTGTTCGTCTTCCCCTTCTCCCCTTCTGATAACTATTCCTTCACATTTCTCTCTGTCCCTGTCTCTCCTCTCTCTCTCTCTCCCCCGATCTCTTTTCTTCCCCTTCCCCTTCCCCTTCCCCTTTCTCTCCTCTTTCTATTCTCCTCAATCCAACAATGCTCTCCAGTATCTTGTGGGAAAGATAGTTGTTGGAAAGATCGAGATTTTTGAGCAAAACGAGATTTCCTAAAGACTCTGGAATCTCTCCGACCAGATTACAGTTAGGAAGCCATAGATTTTCTAGCTTGGTGAGGTTTCCAATATGCAATGGCAAGGGACTTGGGGTGAAAGGGTTGTAAGCCAGTTCGAATCTAGTGAGTTGGATGAGATTGGTACGGAAGGCAGGGATGATACCATTGAGCAGGTTTCCTTGTAGACAAGGGATAGTGAGGTTGGGAAAACGGCCGAAGCTCGGGGAGATGTGGCCGGAGAAGTTGTTAAACGAGAGATCCAAGGAGCGCAAGTTGACAAAATCGGGAGTGAAGTCGGGTAAGTTACCGACGAACAAGTTGAGGGACAGATTCAAATGGTGAAGATGGGAGCAGGAAGAGATGGAAGTATAAATAAGGGAACTGCTGAAGAAATTATCAGCGAGGGAAAGGCTCTGAAGGGTGGGAATACGGCAGAAATCAGCAGGAAAATAGCGGTAGATGTGGAGTCCTGAGAGGTGGATAGAGATAACGGAAAGGGAAAGAGGATCACAGACAATGCCAGTCCAATTACAGGGAATAGTGTTAGTGACTTGCGGGGCTAGATTTGAATCGTGGAGACTACCGGTGGAATCATCGAGATGGGAATTCTTAACTCGGTGTAAGAAGATGCGCCTTCCGTAAGAGAGGCGGCCAGAAAATGTTAGGATTGAATTAGGAGTCTCTATTGTAATTGAATCAGGAGTCTCTGTTTATCTTATTTGTATACATCTTCTTATCCTTGTCATGTATAGTTCATTTAGGAAAAGTAAGTTTGAGCCCTTGTATACGTAGGAGACTCGACTTTATTCATGTATATATATATCGGCATTCTCAATGAATAAGAACAGAAAAAAAAAAGTATAAACCAGAAAAGCTCTGCTTTTACATGGCACACAGAAGCTAATCGATTCAGGTGCTGCATACAGAGGCGTGGTCCTCAACATCATCCCATCCTTCCTGGAGAGCATATCTTCTCCAACCCTCTTAGAGAGCTCGAAATCGGCAATCTTGAGTCATATAAACTACCTCCAGAAGAGATGGTGAAACCGTCCTCAACGATGACATCCTCGCCATAGCAGTAAATAACTTGTCGGCAGTCTTGGAGTTGGTAGAAAGCATAGTTTTTGTCACGTTCCTTTCCTCTGCTTCAGCCAGACGAACCCGGCTTCCCTGTTGTAGCCCACCTCCTCCATGATCAAAGCCGCTCTGATTAAGTGGTCAGAAGGAGAAGCAATACCCAGAGGTGAGCACTCCAGAATTCGATCAAGAAACACTTGACACTTGGCTTGGTTGATCATCCACCCCATTCGCTCTGCAAGAAAATCCGCATAACTGTGCAGAAAAGAGAGAGACTAGTTGTTGGAATTCCTCAAGAACCATCGCGTAGTGTTCATCTGGAGATGGCTAGAGAGGTGTGTTGTACGTAGGTCTTGCTCGAAATACCGATCTCCTCCACGCAGCAGACGATGAATGAGCAGTAGGGTCTTAAGGGCTACATTACGATCTCTGGTCTTGTTGAGTCGGTACGAAATCCTTTCAGCCAGGAAGGGGACAGAGCCGGGAGAGTTGGAGATGAAGAAGAGTATCTCATGCAGATGTTTGTCGTCGATAGGTGTGTTGTCATGGCCTGTAGCTCGAACCATAGAAATCTCTATGCCAGAAAACCCAACATGGCTGATGATCATGGCCTTGCGAAGGGATGCCATGATCCTTCACTGATCCAAGGTCGTGGCGGCCATGTCAAGGCCCATACAGCCAAAGCCTCTGTGCAAGGCAATGCGTATCCAGGAGAATCAATTGATGCAGCCAAGACTGGGTTAAATGAATTGAGTAGTGAGCAGTGGAACATGTTACTCAACATTTTGAACACACAGAAAGAGGGGAGTCAACGACTAAGTGGTAAGCAAAAATTGTCAGAATGGATAATAGACACAGGGGCCTCTCATCATATGACAGGAAGCCTCGAGTCGATGAGGGACATAAAGAATGTCATTCCGTGCTCTATCGGGCTACCAGGCGGGAAAATGACAATTAGCAGAGAAAGAAGGCACAGTTGCATTGGACGATCATCTGAAATTGACTAGTGTTTTATATGTGCCTAAATTGAATTGCAATTTACTTTCTATATCGCAATTGATTGAGGAATCGAATTGTATTGTCCAGTTCACTAAT